TGCAGACACCGCTGTACACTCGTACTGGACGCCTTTATTCAAAGCCTCCTCCCTCAGCCAGCTGCTCACCAGCACGGCATCATGGGAAACCACGTGTCTGTATTCAGTGACAGGAGTCTCGAGCTTCTGCCCGTTTATGTGCCACTCAACACTTACATCTCTAGGACCTGAAGGAAAACTGCACTTACATATGGATCCTACAGGGTATTTAGCACTTCAGTACACACACTCATCCTCATCCACATCATGCTGTTTGTATGATCACACTCTCATACTACATGCATAACAAACTGTAGCTTCAGATCAGAAACTGACAATAATCACTATATGTATTTGCTTTGGCTGGATGATCACTTCAAAAAAAATCTCTAATAAAAAGCATTAAAAACTTTCCCATATTACGGTATGCAACAATCTTTCAACAAATTGTATTTTCTCTCTCTCTGTATTCCCACACTTGTTTTTGTTCTCAAATGTTGTATTTTTGTTGAAATGTAAGTTTTGCAAATGAAAAAAAAAAAAGCTTAGGTCCTTTTAAATGATTTTTTTTTTTTAAATGCATAAATTAATCCTAAAAAAAAAAAATGTTTTTACCCTCATGTTTTGTTCCAGTCATTACGGCTTTTTTTTATTTTATTTTGATGAAAATGTTAGTTCATGTTATTGCATTGGACTAAAACCAACTTAAAATTACTACTTTCAAAAAAAAAGGGGGGAGGGGGATTTTTTCCTCACCTTCTTACACTTATGTTGTTCTTGGTCAAAAATGACTGGCACACAAAATCGCTTATAAATTTCTCATGGAGATATTGCCAAATACTGGATATTTTTATCAGTTTGTTTTGTTTCATGTAACAGAAAAAGCTGATAAAATTATTAGATCCCAGTTTTGGTGATAATACAGCATAATGAAAGACTATTTAAAAGGCTGGTTATTTTTGACTAGAAAACCAAATTATGCAAAGGATTTTCAGCAGCACAAGGGTTAAATGAGTGTTTCCAGCATCACCACAAGAAATTTTGACTCGTCCCTCAGTTTGTAAAAAACGAAAACATTGCACAATAAAAAACATGCCAAATACACGTCTTTAACACACACACACAAAATCACTTGTGCAAAGTTATATCCAATACTTCACCTTATTACTTGGTAAAACCAGTAACTTGCATCAGTACTTGGAGTACATGAAGAACATGTACATGGTAACAAATAACACAAAGTTCATCCACCAAGAAATTAGTTGATCTCGCATGCTGCAATCCTCAGAATACACACACACACGTTTAATGCCACTGCAGGGAATGACTGCACTACTGTCTTCTCCTGATGATAATGGAACCGTTCTTATTAAGTGTAATAATACCATAGTGTAGATTCAAAGATGATAAACATGAATTATCCATTAGTACATGACCGTTCAAAGGTTTGGGGTCAGTAAGATTTTTTAAAAGAAATTCATATTTTTATTCAGCAAGGATGCATTAAAATGATTAGCAGTGAAAAACACATTTATAATATTGCAAAATATTTCTATTTCAAATAAATGCTGTTCTTTTGAACTTTCTATTCATTCATTAAAATGTCACGGTTTTCACAAAAATATTGAGCAGCACAACTGTTTTCAACATTGATAATAATCAGAAATGTTTCTTGAGCAGCAAATCAGCATATTAGAATGATTTCTGAAGATCATGTGACACTGAAGACTGGAGTAATGATGCTGAAAATTCAGCTGCGCATCACAGCAATAAATTACATTTAGCAATATATTCACATGGAAAAAAGTTATTTTAAATTGTAATAATATTTCACATTTTTACTGTATTTTTGATCAAATAAATGCAGCCTTGATGAGCAGGAGACTCTTTCAAAAACATTCAAAAACCTTCCGAACCCCAAACTTTCAAATAATAGCATAAATAATACTTTAAACAATTTTAGCAGAAAAAGCAGAGCATATTTGAATAGATTTGTGAGATTTATATTTGTAATTCCTCACTAAGATTCTGTGTGTCATGAGTTTGCATGTTAAAACAAGATATAATATACAGCTTCATTAACACATCTCAACACAATAAACAGTGTTTCACATGTTTTGCCATTCAAACATTTATTCAGGCTCTCTACCAAAAAAAAACTTTGTACATCTTTTTCATATGTACATATACTGTATTTACACTGTACACGACTGGAACGTCCATCAGTCCTTCAGCCAGTCACCTTCATTTACAAGAGTCCGAGACTCACGTCAGCAGGTAAAACAACACAAAAGTGGCGAAAACGAAGCCATAATCATAAATTAGGATCTGAAGAGAATTTTGAAATAAAAATTTAGGAAATTCAAAAATTATTTACCAATAAATGTATTCATTCTTGACGCTCTTTAAAAAAAAAAAAAAAAAAAAAAAAAAAAGGTGTAAAAATTAACATTTTAAAAAGAAAACATTTTAGGCATCAGACGGTGTGCAGAAGATCTGGATCATGCAGACACACAAACACTGTCTAAATACTCTTTAGTGACTTCCTCTTTCTATCGTCTACTTCCTGTCTGACTTCTGGCTCCTCAGCCAATCAGAACACTTAGCAGGAGGAGCGAAAGGAAGTCACACTTCAGAGTACTGAGACGAGACTGATGAGTGAGAGAGAAAGGTCAAAGGTCAGAGGTCAGAGGCAGCACTCACCCAAGGCCAGGCAGAAGAGCAGAAAGGCCTGGTGAGGGTGAACGCTCCAGGACTGCTCCCTCAGCAGAGGAGGAATCAGACGAGCCCCGGCCAGAGACCAGGAGGAAGAGGAGGAGGAGGAGGAGGAGCCGGGCAGGGACGGAGGGGAAGGAGGAACAGCCCAGGAAGCTGAGCAGGACACAGGAAACGGAGGGAGAGAGACAAATACAAGAGTGTGCTGAGAATCAGAGGACAGCAGATTCAGAAACGCCACGCGGGAAAAAGCAAACAAACCACGGCCAGGTCACATTTCACCCCAAAATCAAAAGAAAAACATACAAGCATTTTTTTCATGAGATTTAAGCACATTTTTTCCTAACATTATAATTTCCATAATGCCAAAAAACACTTTATATATAATACAGTCATGAATATTATCCTATCAGGATGCAATTTATTATTTATTATCATCATCATCATCATCATCTTTATTATTATTATTTATATTAAAATGTCTAATGTACTGTCAAAATGCCAAAAAAGGTGCTAAAAAAGATTTTTTACATTACAGCCCAAAATCAAAAGTTAGTTATATATCGCATAAAGAAAAAAATGTTTTTGTGACTTAATATAGTAATTAACACAATGCCAAAAAAACTTTATATGTAATACAGTCATTAATTGTTACACAATTTCATCTATTTTTGTATTAAAATCAATGCAAAAAAGGTCCTAAAAATGGTCCTTTTAGGCAAAAACAAATAATAATAATAAATAATAATGATAATAATAGTAATAGTTTTTCATTTTGTTTATAGTTTTCCACCAAAAAATAACTTGTATGTACTACAATCATGAAAATTACCCTGTCAGGATGCAATTTACTATTTTTATGTATATTAGTATCACTGTCATACATATTTGTCCAATAAATGATAAAATATGAAATGTAAAATGCAAAAAAAAAAAAAAAAAACTCCAAAAATGTAGTTTTTCTTTAATAAAATCAGTCATGAAATAATGTCAAAATGGAGAAAGACGACAAAAAAAAGAATAATATGGTCCTAAAAATGCAAAAAAAAAAAAAAGTATTGGTTTTTCTTTAAATTTTGGGGTTTCTTGACTTTTTTGTGATATTTACACTATTATTGCTGACATACAATTAAATAATATAATATCTTTAAAAATATCTGAAACATAAAGCTTTCAAAGCTCATGTTTGTGGACTACAGTCGAAAAGGCTCACGAATCAAATGTATTATGTGAGACACAGGTTAAGCGTGTTAGACATCTCATCTGCACCAACAGCAGAAACAACCACAGGACGCTGTGCAAGAGACACATCACAGTGTTTTTGGTCTGGCTCCATGTTTGAGCTCTTCCAGAGCAGTTCTTCATCATGAGATCCTGCGTGTGACACTGAAAGCATCCCTGAGATTCCACGTCACACGCAGGCACAGCAGAAAACCTCTGCAAGAATGATTTACTCAGAATATCAGTCCTTTTCCAATCGTGAATATCTAACCATTCTTAAATCAAGAGAAGGAAAATGAATTAAGATATTAAGTCTTGCCTTCTGAAAAAAATCTCAAAATGAAGTGAGTTTATGCTTAAAATGTCAATATATCAAATTTTTTTTTTTTACTTTAGATTTCTATACATGTATAAATTATATTTTGCTGTTTTTGTGACATTTTTGGCAGAGTTCTTCTAATAAGTATAATTAATTATAACTAGTTATGATTAATTATTCATATTTCCCTATGAGCTGATTCGCTACAAGCATAAGGCCAAAAAATACTTTATATGTAATACAGTCATCAAAATCAACCTGTCAGTACAATAACAAATGTTATTATTATTATTATTTTTTTATTACTGTTATGAAATTGTCAAAATGCAAAAATAAATAAATAAAAAGAAAAGGAGACCTTTTATGCAAAAACAATTTTTTTTAAAAATAATAATAAAATAAAAAATTTGGGTTTCACCTAAAAATCAAAAGAAAAAAAAATGACAAAAAATTATATTTTGCTAAAAGAAAACACAGACAGATGTTTTTTTTTTCCATTTTAAGCAAAAATTTCATTAAACTTTTCTTTCATAAAGCAAGACTCAAGATTTAAGAATATTTAGATATTTGTAACAGAAAACATGACAAAAAATTCTAACTAAGAAATAAATTTTTGCAGTGCAAGCCAAAGGTGAACGTCAAACGCCCCACAAATATTCAAAAACAGTCCGGTGCTCCAATTTGGAAAACATCAAGAAACTTACCAATTTGGTAAACAATGTTTCCAATTTGGAATTTTATTTGGAATTCTGCGTTTGTTCTTGCAGAGCTGCGGCGATTCTGTGAATGCGAGTGAAAAGCGGTGCATCAGTACGGCGCGTCGGCGTCTGCGTACTCAATCGGCTGCGACGCACAGTCGACGTCGAAGGGCCGCACTTTCGAGGGACTGTCCTCGTCGCTGCCGGATGGAACTCCGCCGTTCTTGCATTCCGGCTCTGTCTCGTATCCGGTGTCTCTGAGTGCGCGCAGCGGATGCGCTCCGTTCTGATTGGCCGGATCCGGCTTTTCCTGCACTGGCTCCATCAGGCCGGGCTCGCAGGCTGCATACTCCGGCTGGGGCTTTTTGCTGGAGCCGAGCAGCGCGGATCGCAGGCGGAGACACGGCGCCGGCAGGTACTGCATGTAACAGTTGTACGCCAGAGCGGCAAGGAAGAGCAGGAAGAAGAGCAGGAAGAGCGACAGCAGGGCGGCGCTGTTGTCGTGCTGAATATATTTAGCCGAGGGGTCGAGCGTCTCGGTGCGTGTGGGTAAGTTGCTGACCTCCGGAAGGATGTAGGCTTTGGGTTTAATGGCATTGCTGGGAGGGGTTGTTAGTGAGGGTGCATCCGTGTGAGTCGGCGTTAGTCCCGAGCCGTTACCGGTATTACCTTCCTCCGGTGTGAGTGTAGACGCGGCGCTGGACGGATGCAGAGCGGATATGGACGGCACGCTCTCGGGAAGCTCCAGTCGAAGCGCGTATGCCGCCACCAAACGGGTGAAGTTCTGTCCCGCGGACGCTTCGACCGACCAGCACTCGTAGCGGCCGACGTCCTCCGGCGTCACGCTGTAGATCAGCAGCCCGTTCTCGTTCAGCAGACGGAAGCGCGAGGCTTCGGTCAGGACGCGGCCGTTGAGCTTCCACAACACCTGAGCCAGGTTTGAGCGCACCTGACACGGCAGATCGGCAGAACCGCCCGGCTTCACCAGCACCTGCTGATAGTCGCCCACCGCCAGAGGATCGACTGCAACACAGAGACCATTATGGGTCAGCTGCTACATCAATACAGTCAGTTATTAGTTTAACAGGGAGAGGTATGACTAGGGTTGGGAATCGAAAATCAATTCCAATTCCAGAATCGGACACTTAAAGGGTTAGTTCACCCCAAAATGAAAATTCTGTCATTAATTACTCACCCTCCTGTTGTTCCAAACCCGTAAGACCTTCGTTCATCTTCGGAACACAATTTAAGATATTTTTGATTAAATCTGAGGGCTCTCTGACCCTCCCATAGACAGCAAGGTAACTACCACGTTCAAGGTCCAGAAAAGTACCAAGATGATCGACAAAGTAGTCCGTGTGACTCGTAGCTTCGTAACTTTACAGTTGAACCACTGATGTCAGACTACTTTGTCGATCATCTTAGTACTTTTCTGGACTTTGAACGTGGTAGTTACCTTGCTGTCTATGGGAGGGTCAGAGAGCCCTCAGATTTAATCAAAAATATCTTAAATTTTGTTCCGAAGATGAACGAAGGTCTTACGGGTTTGGAACAACACGAGGGTGAGTAATTAATGACAGAATTTTCAATTTCGGGTGAACTAACCCTTTAAGGTCAGGAATCAGATACTTGTTGTAAAATGAAAATTTCAATTCCACCTATCAATTCCTGTGTGCGCATCTTTTATTTTTAGGTGGTGAAAAAGGGCTGTTAAAAATGTATTTGTCTTTGAATCATTCATTCAAGAGATTCATTCAAAAACACTGATTCATCCAGTAATGAAACAAGCAAATCTTGAGCGAGTCATTGAATCATTCCATGCATAAATTCCATGAAATTTTTGTTAGTTGTCTTAATTTTTTCTTCAGAATTGTGAGAGAACTACAACCATGTATCCAGAATCTTGCAGCACTATTTTGCACACAAACAGACACACAAAGTAAATGTTTTGATATCTAAATGACATTTTTTAACCATATTGGAATCGATAAGCAGAATCAGTTTTGCAATTGATAAAATTCACATGCAACAATGCAATCACTCAAAAATTTTACTTTTTTCCCAAATGTTTTAGATAAAAAATGTACATAATAAAAGTATAAAATTTTTTTGTTCGTGTAGTTAAGAAAACATGCCATGATTATTTAGAACTAGATGCGTACTGTATTTCACTTCGTTTTGAGAATTTTGAATCTACCTGGCAATGACTCTAAAATTATTTCAAAATAAATACTCAATTATTGATTTATATAATAAAGTTACATGAATTAAAATATATTATATAGTACATTATAAATATAAATTAATATATAAATTCATTAAGTAATTCATTTACTGATTTATTTATTTGTTATTTAATTTCTGAAACTCAGAGGAATCAATCATAATCTATCTATCTATCTATCTATCTATCTATCTATATACACACACAAAACAAACCATACACAAATTATACAAAATTATAAATTGATTATTATTCCTCTGAATCTAAAATTATAAAGCATAAGTTATATTATAAAGAGAAATACTTAATCTAAATAAAATAAAAAATATAATAAAATATAATATATAACATTTATAATAATATATAATAAATTATAATATATTATAAACATTGAAACTTAAACATTGCCTAGCACTAGTCTAGTACACACACTCAAATGCATCTTAAATTTTCTTCTGTTAGTGAGTACATGTCTATATAATTATTAGAATTACAGTGACAATGTTCTCATGCGCTCTTGTTTTTGTTCGTCTGTGCCGGTTACTGTAAATCTAGACAGACAAAAACCAGGCACTAAAACAGGACCATTTGAGCTCAAATTTAATACAGATGACATTTCTACATGACACACCTGTAGGGCATATCCCAGCATCTCCTTTAAGGCTCTGAATCAACTTCCTGCAAAAACACACAGATCAGAGTAAATACAGACACACCTAATCGAAGATGATAATGCCGTCTGGCAAACAGATTCCAGAAAATACAGTCTTTAAAAGACTTGCACTATCAAAGAAGTATGAAGTAGTGAGAAATACTTGCAGAAATGAAAAACAAAATATATATAATCTAAATTATGATTCCTCTAAAATTATTTCCAAATAAATATGCAAATATCGTTTTAATAAAATGTAATAAAATATAAAATACATATAAATGATGATGATTTCTAAAAAAACAAAACAAAGCATATTAAAAAGTATTAAGATAGAAATTATAGATATTATATTATAAAATTATATCAATACAAAAAATACAATAATAAAATACATAAGAGTCCTGACTCTGATGTTATATCAGAACAAATATGGAAGTATAGATACTTTACTATAAAAAATTATGAAATATAAAAATAATAATAATAATAAAATTAAAAAAATTAATTGTATACAAATAAAATAAATGATGATGCTTGACCTGATTCTAAAATGATAAAGTACATATAAGTACTGAGAAATACTTGCACAAATGAAAAACAAAATATACATAATATATAAATATGCAAATATTGATTTTTGTAATACAATTACATTAATTAAAAATATACAATCAATTCTAAAAGAAATACATAAATGATGATGATGATGATTCCTAAAAGTTATAAAGTTTATTATACAAGCATATATTATAAAAGTATTAAGAAATACTTGCAGAAATTAAATGTAAAAATATACAATAATAAATTGTAAAAACAAAACACAGCTAAGAGTAAATAAAAGTCATCTGGCTTACATAAAATATATAAAAAAATATTTATAAAAATCTTTAAACCACTACATGGACTGCACAACAAAATTACACAATGATCTGACGAACAAATAAGACGCATATTGTATGAGAGCCGTGTTCCTGTTAAAGCGCAGTGTCTGCTAATATTGGAGAAATGACAACTGCATTTAAATGCAGAAGTGAATCCCCTAAATCATCATTACATGTATGTACGGAACAAGACTCACTCGCGAAACTGAGATGATTGACAGCTTGGAAACCATAGCAACGTTTTGGCATCTTGCGCATTTAGTATCCGTTATTGTGACCAAAGTAATATTAAAACGCCCGTTATTTTCAGCAGTTGAACTGAAGTACAGTGGACGGAGACATTGTGTTTTACAAGCGCTTTCTGGGCGATCACAAAGCGATCAGATCAAAGTGAGCAGACACGAGTCGCTATATTTTGGTCTTATTTTCAGCATAAAGCTTTTGGATGTACTTCGGTTTATGATGGTCTTGTTCGCTAGCAAGATCTGGCAATGGGAGTCAAGGATCGTACTGCTCTGGCACTGCTTTCCCTGTGATTCAAAGCGCATACAGAAGAGAGACACATCTATGCATGTTAAAAACCTCCATTATAGGACTGACAGACTGCAACGGTTTGAGTTAAAAATCTTCATTTGTGTTCTACTGAAGAAAAAGTCACCTACATCTCGGATGCCCTGGGGGTAAGCAGATAAACATCACATTTTCATTTTTGGGTAAACTATCCCTTTAACAACTGCATAGAATTTCTGCAAATGTAGTTGTCACTACCTGTATTTTTCAGGAGTTCATGCGGTTGTCGAACTCCCATATTTTAGTGAATTATGTGTGTGCAGAACGCGATTAAGAAGTAAAAGGTGAACTGCAGTGTGTACGTGGCCAGTGTGAACGTAACTTCTCATTTCTCACCGTGGATTGGCATCATGCTGGAAAATATTGAGGCAGGAGGCCGAGCGCGGGTCCCAGGCGCAGTAGGGGTCCCGCGCCAGAACACAGTCCACACAGGATGGGTACTTCTCACAGAATGCTGTGGGAGACTGAACCACACCAGAGTCCGATCCAGCGTACAGGAACCGGGCCTGAGACAGACAAAACACACAACACATGAGGAACCAGAGAATCTCCAGCGCACGGAAACTTCCTCCCTGCTGACAAATCATACAATGTGCTTGTGGATTTTATTCCTCATGATTCACGGCGATGATAAGATGAGTCTCGGCTCACTGTTCTTACCACTTGTGAGGAGAGCAGAAGTGTTTTAATTGGCTCTGTGTTCTTCAGCAGCTGGATTTCCTCCACCGTGTGAACCTCGCCCTCCAACACCAGCGATTTGTGCAGCAAGCCTTTATCTGGAAACATTAATATAGCAACAAGATGTGATCTAAATGAGCTTCATGACACTTCAGTGTGAAGAAACAAATCAAAGCCAGACTTTCACATCCTGTGGTTTAGCGCATCCTTTCACACATTTCACCGGTGAAAATGACAGAAAAAAAGATATATAATGAAAACATAAAAGGTAAATATTGCCGTTTACTCAAATGTACTGTTACACTGGTACTTATAATTATTAAAATGATTACATATTTTTCCTTGTTTACCTCACTGTTTTTCACTGGACAAACACGTCATGATTATTTATAACCAGATATGTACTGTATTTCACTTCCTGTTTTAAGGAAAGTTATACTGTTATATTATAGTAAAATTGTATTTAAAAAGTTGTATAAAAATAAATAAAATTATTATGATTCTGATTCTGACACTAAAATGCTACAATTATATTAAAGTACATTATAAAGTTTTGAGAAATAATTGCAAAAAAATACCTAAAAAATATTATACAAATATATATATATATATGTAAATTTGTAAACTATATAAATTGTACTGTTATATTAGTGCTTATAAATTAAATTTTTTTTTATTTTTTTGTAATTTTGTTGATGTAGTGAAAAACAATGAGGAAAACATGCTGTGATTATGGCAGTGGCTGTTTAAATTATGATTATAAATCCTCTGACTCTTATAGAACAAATATTATCTAAAATTATATAAATAAAAATAACATAAATTATGATGTTTGACCTGATTCTTAAATTACAGAATACTGTAGTATAGTTAACTATAAAGTATTGAGGAATACTATATATATAGATATATATTTTTATAAAATAAATTAATTAAATGTTGCTGTTTATTCAATTGTACTGTTATATTGATGCTTATAAATTAAAATAATTAAAATTACATGATTCCTCTGACTATTTCATAACAAGCATGGAAGAACGGATATTATAATTATATTTACCTGATTATAAAATTATAAAGTATATTTAAACTTTGTATGTTAAATTATCTTTTGATTTTACTGATGTGATCTTTTTCTGGTATTTATTTTATTTGTACAGCACTATGATCAACTGCTCTTGTGTTTATCGGTACTTAATTAATAAATGCATGAATGAAATACATGAATGAATATAATAAAGTATTGAGAAATCCTAGCAGAAATCAAATCTATATAAATGCTTTGACACTTGTGAGACTCACCGGTGCCGGTGAAAATGACGTGGTGGATGTTTCCGTCGAGCGCCTGCACTCTCTGGACAGCGATCTGTGTGTAGTTGATGTCTTTGGTGACGAGGCGCGGGCCGTTTCCGATGGGCAGCACGGGGTCCTCCAGCAGCGGATGGTCCTTCACAAACTGCAGCGTCTTGTCGGGCAGCTGGAGCGACGAGTTGATGCTCTGCATGCGGTTCAGGTTGCTGATGCACTGAAATATATCATCAACACATCCAATGAATTTGAAATTCTGTGATATTATTAGCATTAACTCTGAATAACAAATATAAGTCTCCCGTTATGTCAATCTAGCACCACTTTTTATTTGATACAAATATTAATGTAAATTAATTTCGAGTTACAATTGTGAACATGCACTGCATATGCCATTACTATATATATCAGGATTATATGAACTATAAACCTGGTTTCTAAAAATCTCTTTTTATTTAATTAAAAAATGTATTTATTATATTTTATTTTTTTATTTTATCCATTTCCAAACTGCTTGTCCTATGTAGAGTCACAGGCTTTTTTTTATTGTAAAAGTGTATTTATTTTATAATTTTATTTTATTATAAGTTTTAATTTTATTATTTTTTATTTCATTATTTAGATTTTTTTTTACATTTATTTCACATCAATATACTTTAATATACCATTTTTAATTATTTTTATTTGGTATTTAGTTTATTTTCATGTTATTTGTTTTTATTTTTTGTTTTAATATTATTTGGTTTCTTTTTATTTCGATCTAACATATTTATGTATTTATGCATTTTATTTTATTTCACATCCATATATTTTTCTATGTTTTAATTATTTCTATTTGTTATTTAGTTTATCATTTTTATTTTATTATTATTTTGTTTATTTTATTTCATTCTAATATTTATATTTATTTATTTTCATTTTATTTCACATCTACTCATTTTCCAAACTGCTTGTCTTACATAGGGTCACATGCTTGTTTTACAGGTATTTATTTATTTTATTATTATTTTATTTCATTTAGCTTAATATTGTATTCTTTTTATTTTTACATTTATTTTTAATTTATTTTGTTTTATAAATACTCTCATTTACTTCCCAGCATCCTCTGATCTTATGGATCCTGTAAGCACATATATACCACTGAGTTGCGTGTTTTGTGGAAATACTAACCGCTCCGGGTCTGGGACTCGGGGTGATGCCATTAAATCGGACCCACTTAGTGTGGGACTGTTCCACCGTGGCCTTCTGCATGTACTTCCCTTTAGTGAAAACCTCATGCACCGAACTCATGTTATACGCACAGACGGCGGACAGACCAACATTCCCCCTGAAACACACAGAAACGATCACATTTCTGAAGAAAAATGCCTTATGCATAAAAAATAACCCAGCTGTGCCACTTCTTTTGATTTTTTTTTTTTGGCCCAAATACTCAGATGCAGGTGATTCTCTGACTCACAGACCGTCATGAACCGATGAATCAAGACAAACATACCACACAAGCTTTTATTCTCGTCCTTCAACACAAACACACACACGCTCACCACTGAGATGTGAAGACCCCATAGATGACGGTGTCTCTCCAGTGCGGCGCTTTCAGAATAAACACGTCATGAACCACATTGAACACAAAGTTGAGCTCCGGCATTGAGCAAACCAGCTTAGCCTTCAGAAACGACGTCCACTTCTTCTGCAGCGTCCGCTGGCCTCCCAGATCCCCCTGTTACAGTGAGAGATACAGTGATGTAGTTCAGAGAAAAACCTTCACAATCTTACACCTGCATGCTGTCATTTACATATTGTATGTATTTAAATATATCTGGCGTTTTCAAACTATTGTATGAAAGTTCAAAAACTTCCATCATATCATGCACTTTGTCCAGAGGTGAAGTTTTATTCAGTTAGTTCATCAGGGGTTTTGTTGATAGCAGGATGGTAAAATGAAGAATAATAGTGCTATTATATATAATAAAACAATTATTAATGTCAGACTCAAAGCTCAAAGTTCTTGTCATAAAGTCTGAAATTTAATTCAGTTTTATTGTTTTTATTTTCAAAGTTTTGTCTGAATTATTTAGCACTATAGAACAATAATACCAATATTAATACCTTTTTTGTCAAGTGGATATGTGCTCAAATTTTATGTTTTTTAATTATTATTTTTTATTATTATTTATACACTTATTTATCATTTTTGTATTAATATTATGAATTAACTTTTATATTTATAGTTTTCATTTTAATATTAGGTTTATTAACGCTAATATAAATACTAATTTGTTTGGAAATTGTGTTATGTGGCTTTGTAATGTTTATTAGTTTTTGCTTTTGAAAGGTTTTAGTATTATTTAAACATTATTATAATTTATATGAATATTTAGAATTAGCTTTTATTTTTGTATAGTTTCAGTATTCATTTTAATATTAGGTTTATTAATACTAATATAAATACTAATTTGTTTTAGAATTTTGATGTGGTTTTATCATTTTTATTAGTCTTTGTTTTTTTTTTCAATATTAATATTTTAGTATTATTTATAAACAGTTTTATTAATATTTTGAATCTTATTTTATTTTTATATTTTCAGTTTTAATTTTAGGTTTATTAATTATGTGCTTCTGCAATTTTATTAGTTTTTGTTTTTTAAACATTAATATTTTAGTAATTAATACACAGTTTTTATTAACATTTTCACTAAGCTTTTATTTTTTATTATTTTCAGTTCTCATTTTAATACTAGGTTTATTAATACTTTTTTTGTAATTTTGTTATGTAGTTTTGTTAGTTTTATTAGTTTTTTATATGAATAGTTTAGCATTATTTATACACTAATATATATTTATAAATATATATAATATTAGCTTTTATTTTTATAAAAGCCTCTAGACTGTCCCAGAATAAACATCAATATGATTGCATGGTCACATTCGCACCCTGATTATACATGATCAAAAAATGTTGACTCTCCAGTAGTAAACTAAAAGCAAGATGTTGACAGATAAAGCAAGAATAATAAACAGAAAGAGAGATGAAGATGATCAGATGATCAGATATAGATGAGAGCTTAGAGAAACATCTGTCAAAGGTGACAAAGATGGAAGTTTATTGTTTTTTACTGGAGAAAAAACCCAACCGTGTGGAACAAATTTCCAGGAACAAGATGATTTTTCTGCCAAACGACATGAAACTGCTTGTGTGTCTGTGAGAAACCACACAGTCATTGCTGTTCAGGACCAGTGTTGGGCTAGTTACTCAAACAATGTAATATATTACGCACTACTAGTTACTCATTTCAAAAATAATATTGTTACTTTACTTATTACTTTCTGGCAACAGTAATTAGTTACACTACTGTTGCCAGAAAGTAATAAGTAAAGTAACAATATTACTTTCTGGCAACAGTAATTAGTTACACTACTGTTTCTTCATGCCCCACAGAAGTTGTAACTGTGTATCTTCCACATACAATTGTAGTGATTGATAGTGACGTTCAAGTAGAAGTGTTGTATTAATCTCATTCCCCACAGAAGTTGTAACTGTGTGTCTTCCACATAAACTTCTAGTGATTGATAGTGACGTTCAAGTAGAAGTGTTGTATTAATCTCATTAATTGTCATGTGTAGCTTGAAGCTAATTGTCATTTCTCCGTTACCCATGGGTATGATTATATTTCATTAAGTTTGTAAGAAACTTTAATCTTCCAAAAAGATTTTTAATTATAGTAATGTACCACATGCTGATCAGAGGGATGTAATGCCAGAGTAAAGTAAAGCCACAACTTACACAACCGTGCTCAGATCATCTTTTTTTCCTGTCAAAATCAATATAATGCAATATTTCTATCTAAAATTAAAACCATGGAAAACCCTTAAGATAACATGTAGAAAGAAAAAAACGCATCTTAAGCACGCAGAATAACATAAGTGGACTTTGAACGATTACGTAATTGTGGCATCCATAATTGTAATCGCGATTAGAAATTCGATTAATTGTGCAGCCCTAAGTTACTAGTTACTGCCCAACACTGTTCAGGACACGGCGCTGGTTTCCGGCGGATCTCACCTTACAAACGCGAAATCCCCCGAGGGATGTAATGCCAGAGTAAAGTAAAGCCACAACTTACACAACCGTGCTCAGATCATCTTTTTTTCCTGTCAAAATCAATATAATGCAATATTTCTATCTGCTGAATGTAAGCTTTTCCATATTCCAAGCTTGCCTGCTGCACTGGGGACATCACATGCATGTGCGAGTCGTGAAAATTATGAAAATAAATCTAGGAATTATTATTTCATTACACCAAATACACAAAATAATGTTCTTTTTAGCAGCATCATATGACCCCTTTAAGTTATATAAAAGCTAAAGTATACTTTGGCTGTCCGTGTTCTGCGACGGTCCATGCACTGCATGATGTAATTTTCGTCATTAGGACTGTCTTCAAATGTCTGCGCACACTGGTTGCATGCAACCCAATTTTTGTGTACATGCTAACTTGTATACTAATTTTTCACACTAGCTGTGTTTATAAGCAAATAAATAATACATTGATAATTGCATTGATGGCTCAATCAGGCTGAAAAGCTTTTGGTGTAAACACCTCAGTTGATCCAGTTGAGCTTGATCCAAATGAAATTTCAATCAGGGACATGAAATACTCTCAATACTAGGGCTGCACGATTATGACAAAAATCATAATTGTCGATTATTCCCTTGAAATTGTAATTGCGATTATTAATTACGATTATCACAATTTACATTGAATGATGTTTATACCATTGTTTGATGCAACTGCATGCCGTATTTTTATATGAAAATAAACAAGCTGAAAACACTCTAACTGAAAAACCTTTAGTGCTTTTCTATAGTATTAATCAAATGTCAAATATACATCGGATTGGTTTCTTCTTTAAATTATAAAAAAGTAAAAATGGTATTATAGTGTTATTCTAAAACTAAAATTAAAACAATGGAAAAACCCTTAAGATAACATGTAGAAAGAAAAAAACGCATCTTAAGCACGCAGAATAACATAAGTGGACTTTGAACGATTACGTAATTGTGGCATCCATAATTGTAATCGCGATTAGAAATTCGATTAATTGTGCAGCCCTAAGTTACTAGTTACTGCCCAACACTGTTCAGGACACGGCGCTGGTTTCCGGCGGATCTCACCTTACAAACGCGAGCGATTCTGGGGATCAGCAGCTTCCCGAAGAACTCGTACTCCACCGACACCTCCGTGAAGAAGTAGTAGATCTTATCGTCATCTCCATCCGGACTGTTCTGCCCTTCTCGGATCACATCAGCGAAGACGAAACTGGGCTCTGAACACAGAACTCAACTGAGCTGCGCTATCATAGAATTATTTCTATACAGTTATAGTTTACATTACAGCTTTTATTTTTAGTTTTAATATTAGTTTTATTAATACTATTTTTCTAAGAAGTGTTATGTGCTTTTATCATTTTATTACTTATTTATACACTTTTACAGTTGTATTAATATTTTGCATTAGCTTTTGAATTTTAGTTTTCATATTAATTATATTAATACTAGTAAAATAAACAAATTTTCAGTAATTTTGTTATGTGCGTCCGTCATTTGTATTAGTTAAATATAATAATATTTTATTATTTATACACTATTACAGTTTTTATTAATGTTTTGAATTAACTTTTATTTTCATATTTTCAGTTTGTTTTAATATATTTTTATTAATACTAATATTAATAAAAAACATTATAAACTTTGTAATGTGCTTTTGTCTTTTTTAGAAACATTAAAGTGTGACAAACATGCAAAAAAATAAGAAATCAGGAAGGGGGCCAACACTTTTTCACACCACTGTATATTCATATGCGCACTGTTGTTTTATACGGCGGTGGACTAGTTAGCGTCGTACCGTTGAGCCAGGATGTTGAATACTCTGTGCGCAGTAAACTCTGAGACAGAGAAGATCTGGAGATGATCGGCTCGCTACCCAGGAAGTTATACGCCGTTCCTGAGTACAACTCACCATCTAAACAACAAACAGCCAGGCAACCAGTAAGTACTACTGGAAATACAGCAGACAAACACTGAGACTGTCCTGCAGATGTGCGTCAACTCACCAACCATCACGCTGGTGAAGCTCTGGGCCGGGTCGAAGGAGCATTTCCCCCTGCCGTCCTCTGCTCTGTCCTGCAAGCGGAAACTCTGCAGCGACTGAAGAGAAATGAGGCCGTGAGAGACGAAGACGTTTTAGCAAAGTAAGAAATAGAGCAGATATAAAGTTCAGTTCACAGAGTCACATGATCACGTAATCCGACTGAAAGAGGAAACTATTGTATGAATATTCAGAAAGGTAGTTACAGAGCCACTGCTATCAAAATATCAGGGAAGTTTTGACAATATAGAGACAAACCAAAATGTCACATTGTTTGAAATTGCTAACAAAGCGTTTGTTGTGGAACAACTAGTTCCTAAACATAAAAATCCAAGCAGTGCTGTTATTGTCAACTAAAACCAGAAATTAAAAATTGTTTAAAAAATAAATTTTAATTAAATATTTACTAAAACTAACTAACTAAATAAATAGAACTTGTAAAAAAAAAATTTACAAAAATGTTAAAATACTGCCTTGGCAAATAACTGAAACAAGTGTAAGTTAAAGTACTAAAATGACTAAAATAAAAATAAAATATTAAAAAAAAAATAGTAATATCAAAAGCACATAACAAAACTACTAAAACTTAAACTAAAAGTATATATAATATAAAACATGTAAAAAATTAAATGCAAAATATTAATAATAGCATATATATAATGTTAAAATAACACTGGATCATAAAGAAAGTGTTTTCAGATGCTCAGATGTTAAATTATTATATATTCTTCTGCTGAAGTCATGAATCGGAGTCATTTAAACTTTATAAAAATAAAAATAAACAATTTAACAGCTGAATTTTCAGTGTTATTATTGCTTTGGGTGATTTGGTTGTTATTTGGCATTAAGCAAAAAGTTTTTTTTTTTCAATACTTATTTGCATCAAATGTTATTCGAAATGTTATAATGTAATTTATCTGGGAGCTGGTTGCTTCAGTTCAGGATTTAAATCACTTTACTGAAAAATGAATCGAAAATGCTTCCCAAACTGAAGCAGCTGAAACAGTGAATGCAATCTTTGTTGGCAAGTTTGGGTGACACTTGAAATGATTTAAAGGTTTATGAAGTCAATACTAAGGCTTGTACACACCAGATAATCACAGACGGGTTGAAACGCGTGAGTCCCACAAACATACAGAGTGTCTTCATCCAGCACTTGCAAAACTCGAATGTAGTTTCGACAGTCGGTCTGTCACATGAGCACAAAAAAACATTTCAGTTACAGAATCCACCATCAGTGCTAGAACAACCAGATTAAGGTCACTGAGTATTTTTCCACATTACCTCTTTAGATTTGCCCTTTAAAATACACATCGACATGTCGTTCTCTGGAACTTTCCACAGCAGCTGAGAGAGCAGAGTCAATACAACGTCATCATATAAAAGACACTTCAGCTGTATCAGGAAGCAGACGGCTGGAGTAATTCTCACCTGGTTGTCATTTATTTGATCCAAAATACAGTAAAATTGTGAAATATTATTATAATTTAAAATAACAGTTTTCTATGTGAATATATATTAAAATGCAATTTATTGCTGTGCATCATTCAGCATCACTACTCCAGTCTTCAGTGTCACATGATCTTCAGAAATCATTCTAATATGCTGATTTGCTGCTCAAGAAACACTTCTGATTATTATCAATGCTGAAAACAGTTGTGCTGCCCAATATTTTTGTAAAAACTTTAATGCACAACCGCTCAAACATTTGAAGTAAGATTTTAAAAATAGAAATCAATACTTCAACAAGGATGCTCTAAATTGATCAAAAGTGACGATAAAAACATTTCACTGAAGACTGGAGTAATGATGCTGAAAATTCAGCTTGATCACAGAAATAAATTACATTTTAACATATATTCAGATAGAAAACAGCTATTTTAAATTGCAATAATATTTCACAATTCTTACTGTATCTTGGGTCAAATAAATGCAGCCTTGGTGAGCAGAAGAGACTTCCTTTTAAACATTAAATAATCTTAATTATTCCAAATTTTGATTCCAAATGTTATTTCAAATCTTTGCGTATTTATAGAGATGTGGAACATTTTCTGAAGAAGCAAAAAGATCATTTATAGATCTGGAATATTTGCTTCTCTTTCTGTCTGCTGAATGAATACATGAAATTAAATAAACTTTCAAGAGTATTTTAAGGCAGTAAAATTTGAATTCTCCAGCTGGTCGTGGTCGAATCTCTTCCAGAGGAGATCCTGAACTCTATGAAAGCAGCAGTAGATGATTTACTGCTCCGAATGAAGCAGCGGTCAAACTTATGAGTCATTCATTTCATCTTCAGCACAATAAAACTCTAACATCTCCATCCAAACGTGTGTGTGTGTCATTCAGATTCGGCTCAGCAAAAGACATTTCTACTATGACATTAGAGCACTGCCACATACGCCAATGTTAATGCTTCTTTTTAAATCCTGTTCTGTTATTATTGCCATTAAATGAACATTAATCAGCATTAAATAGCATGTATTAAGAAAGTAAACAAGCTAAAGAGCCAAACAAATGACCAACCCAAAATGCAATGGTTGTGGATCTTGAACACTTTAGGCTTAGTAAGTTATATTTATATACTACATGTAGTATATGTGGATATTTGAGCCTGTGCATTCATAGATGATGATTTATGTGTCACTGGCACACTTCAGTTTGTGTTTGGCTGCCAGTCGGGTGTGTGTGTGTGTGTGTGTGTGTGTACTACACACTTGCAGCTCTCAGGTTGCTAGTGTTTTTGTCAGAGACCAGGCAGACGCTGCAAACCAAAGCCCTTACGGGACTTCAGAAACACCACACATGTGACTTCCTGTGCTTCTGAAACATGCTTCTGAACTGTACTATATACTGTACAAAAATCTAGGGTTGTCAGTTTTAGAAATGTTTTTGAAAGAAGACTTTTACGCTCATCAAGGCTGCATTTATTGGAACAAAAATACAGTAATATTGTGATATATTATTACAATTTAAAATAGCTGTTTTCTATGTGAATATATGTTAAAATGAAATTTATTCCTGTGATCAAAGCTGAATTTTCAGCATCATTACTCCAGTCTTCAGCGTCACGTGATCCTTCAGAAATCATTCCAATATGCTGATTTATTATCAATGTTAAAAAAAGAATATATTTATACACACAATTCAGAAGCATGTTTTATAAGCACAGGAAGTTAGACGTGTGGTGTTTTTAGCAAACATGTTGCACCTGCAGAGGTTTCGTTTCTGACAAGAGAAACGTTAACCCTTCACTCACCATCGTGCCTCCATGAGCTTCTGGGAACGCTGGAGGGTCCGTGTGTGGAAACTTCCAGAAGCAATCCCAGAAACACGCCTAACACGCTCAGAGCCATGTTAGACTCCGGGATCTTCTGCAGCGTGATGTTTCCTCTGAAAGAAAGAGAAGACGGCTCCGCTGACACACACTGATACAACAAACCACGACTGGACATGAAGGAATCATGCATGATCAATCTGACACGTGTCCTTTAGTCATCCAACAGGTTCACTTTTTACACAACAAAAGACTGAATATACATATCATATTCATACTGCTCATTTCCACACAATGAACGTGAATGACGATACCTTGGTGCTTTATAATTACCATAGTCATGCACTATGGTATTAATATGGTACTTCAGAGTATTAAAATATTGTATTAAAAAACTTACATCATTATTGATCCAAAGATGACAGAATTTGGGCTGCAATATGATTATCAGATCCCAAAGGCTGTGATTTAATTTAATAAATAAAAGCGCTGCATGTTTCAGAGCGAAGCCTGTTACTGTGTTCATTTATTTGATCAATGGAAAACCGCCAAAATAAAAGCGCCTTTGCTTATATTTTTTTGCTTTGCTATATATATAAAACCATTAAAAGAAAAAAAAATACTTGAAATAAAAAAAATTAACTAAAATTATATACATGTGTGTGTGTGACCCTGGAGCACAAAAGCAGTCTTAAGTCGCTGGGGTATATTTGTAGCAATAGCCAAAAATACATTGTATGGGTCAAAATTATCGATTTTTCTTTTATGCCAAAAATCATTAGGATATTAAGTAAAGATCATGTTCCATGAAGATATTTTGTACACTTCCTAACATAAATATATCAAAACTTAATTTTTGATTAGTAATATGCATTGCTAAGAACTTCATTTGGACAACTTTAAAGGCCATTTCTCAATATTTTGATTGTTTTGCTCCCTCAGATTCCAGATTTTCATATAGTTGTATCTCGGCCAAATATTGTCCTATCCTAACAAACCATACATAAATGGAAAGCTTATTTATTCAGCTTTCAGATGATGTATAAATCTCAATTTCAAAAAATTGACCCTTATGACTGGTTTTGTGGTCCAGGGTCACACACATACACACACATATATATTAATCTTTTTAATCTTTAAAATTATTTTTTATTTTGCTTTTCATAACAGAAAACCATTGATAACAATAAACAATATGTATTAATATTACATACATCAGAAATTAATCCTCAATCTGCCATCTTTAAAAAATATGGAAGTTACAAAAAGAACCTAATTAATATTTAAAATTGAAACAATTATAATAAGGATCAGATAATCAGATAGTATCACTTATAGACACAGATATTTTAAATAAAAATATTTATTAAATCATATTTCTTACTTAGTTTAATGTTTTTTTATAATAAAATAAATAAAACATTTACATTACATTATATTTCTTATTTTGTTTAATATTTTATTTAATAATAATCGCAGTAAACATCGTAACTATAATTATTTTAATCATATTGAATGTGTCAAAAACTGTGAGAATATGAATTCTGACAATTTTTTAAAACTTTGTTCACTTTATTTACGTTACTGAAATAGATTTAATTTGGTTTTTATAACAAAAATAACTTATAAATATACTAACTATATGTTGTTCTCAATTGTTCAGGCCTAAAAGAATGGATTGCACTGAAATTCTTTTACTCTAAAGTTAATATATTAGCTTTTTAAAAATTATTTTCTATTTACATTTAGGTCATCTGGTGAAAACGTCTGTGTTTTTAAAAAATATATATATTGCATACATTTTTCCAATATCGTGTCCTTCTAAGTAAACTGTAGTATTTGTATTCATTCATAGTACTTTGCTGTGAGTAACGAGCAGTTAAGCGGTGTTTATGTAACGTTCATATCGAATGACCGCAGCTTCAGGCCAAACAGCCTCTCTTGGAAGGAGAGAAGAGAAACGTGATGACAAGCAACCAAAATTAGCATCGGTGAGCGAGAGAAAGCCCAAACATCCTCTATCAGCGACAGAGGCGGCCTGTTAGCAGAGCATGAGATTCAGGAGCTCGAGAAACACAGAAACCAGCAGTGATTAATGACATCAGTGTCTGGCGATGACTGGAAACTGCTTTGGGAGCTGTTGGTTTTGCAGGAATTCCCCTGATCTGGGAAGTGAAACCGGGACGGGTAATATAGAGGCATCATGAGCTCAACGAACCCTCGAAAAATCACACCTGACATAATGGTTTCCATGACAACCCAGATTTAGAGTCTCTAGATTTTCCTCGCTGATCTGTCACTTCAGATGCATGGTCTGTAACTGCTTACTGGATTTTTGCATTTTTTAAACAACACGTGAGCGACTCTGGCCTGTGCAAATCTTCCCGCCATTATGCTCGGGTGTTGCTATGCAGTCGCTAGGGTGTTTGTTTATAGGAGGTTTCTGATGGGTTATGGACCAAAGTCACAGACTACAGTTCAATACTTTATTATTAGACTGCTGAAATCACCAACTGAGTGTGAGCAATAGTAATAGTGATAGTCGAGTAATCATGCTGCAACGTGTCATTTCAATTCAAAATCAGACAATAAGGAATCACTGGTTGACAAAAGCAGCTCTGAAACAATTTAAGCTGGATTTTGTGGATCTTGTATTTCATTTTTGTTTTGTTTTAAATGCATTTCATTTTTTATTCAATACATATTTTAAACTCATTTTAACTTGACTTTGTGAATATTGAACTTTATATATTAAAAAATATATATTTTATTTTCTATTTATTTTATTTTTATTGATATGCATTTTATTTTAATTTGATTATTTGAAAATATATTTGTTGATTTCAAAAACATTTTACTTGACTGTGAATCTTGAACTTTACACATTTAAAAATAGATTTTTTTTTTTTTAAACTTGTAAAATAAAATATATATACAAAATATTTATTTTGACGTAGTTTATTCACATTTTATTATTTTGTATGTGTGTGTGTGTGTGTGTGTGTGTGTATGTATGCATTTATATTTATAAATAATATATGTTATTTTTTTACAAACATTTTACACAAACATATATATAAAAATGAAAACCATAAAAAGCAGGATAACACTTCTCTCTGATCTTAAATATGTTCAAATGAAATGCATTAGTATTGGTAGCTGATATGTTCATATGCTCGTCAGGTGCTCAGCAAAAGCTTTTTCAGATTCCTACAAATGATTTCCATACGTGCTGCACTTTATTGTTCTGTGAAGTAAAAGTGCAGAGAGATTCAAAGACAGAAAGAAAACAAATGGAGTGAAGAGAGCGGAATGTAATAACAAGACACAGGAAACTCAACGGAACGTCATTTCAACATGTGAAGATCACAGGAAACACTAAACGGCCCCAAGCAAAGACAGACTGCAAGCTTCAGTCCGCAGCTTATATCGGCTCTTCAGATACATCTGTTTCATTTCATTCGTTCTGATCGGAGAGAGAAAAACTTATAACATGAGCGAGGAGACTTATTGTATCCTTAGAACATAGATTTAACAAGAAACCAAAATAATACACACAGTGCTTTTAAAAGTGGAACATCACTGGAAAATAGACTGTTCTTCTGACTGAAGAAAAAAAAAAAATAAAAAAAAAATAAAAAAAACATTATAATAAAATAAAATAAAAAAATAAAATAAAATAAAAATCACTGTTCAAGATCAATAACCTAGATAATTTATGAAAACACTGCCTGATGATAACTGTTTAATAATAAAATAAATAATAATAATAAAATAAAATAATAAAATAAATAAAATAAAAAATAAAATAACATTTTGCTTTGCATTGCATTCATTCTATATTTAAATAACTTTTATATTTAGAAATGAATGTAACATCAAATCCAACTCAGTGTTTATAGGTTCTGGCCTTCATTGTGTATTTCTAACCATATTATATGCAATTGTAGCAGTACTAACTGTGCAATATTATTATTATTTTTTCACATTACTAAAATAATTATAATTTTTTTATACATTTCCATTCCAAATATCAATTAATTTCTGCAGAAAAAGTATTTAATTTCAACTGATTTGATCTTAATTTTACTGTTGTAGTGAATGAGCATCGACAACATAACACTGGTTGACATGATGGAAGGATCAGATATAGGGTGGAAAATAACTGTAAAATAACAATCACTGATCAACAGGCAGATGAGTTTTTACAGCCTTGGGTGGAAACACACACACACACACACACACACACACACACACAAGCTACCAATGACCCTAAATGTACAGAAATGTGCTGTCAAAGCCAAAGTCACCAACACGAGGGTCTGCTGAAGGAGCTCACGCAAACACAAAGAGCCTGTTGTGTGTGTGAGGAGAGAATTACACACACAGTAAACAATCAACAAAGACTGGCCCTGAGAGTGTGTGTGTGTGTGTGCGCGCGCGCATGACGTGGCCTCTCACACACTGCACTTTCCCAGAAAGCTTCATTCACATGTCAGACCTGATTAGTTGAACACCGAGTCGGTTCTACCCTGATCCCAATCCATCAAAATGAGTGATGTGTATGGAAAAACACTATCCATGTATAACAGCATTTTCTAAAATGAGGAAAATGAATGTGGATGTGAACATAAAATGATGACAAAACACATACTAAATAAAAAAAATGGAAAATTATATAAATAAATACACAAACATATCTATATATAAAATATGTAAAGAATTTTGTATTTTAAATATACTGTGTAAATATACACAATTTGTTTATTTTTTTCAAATTATATATTTATAACAATACATAATTTATAATATAATTTATTATAAAATGTATACATATATTTGTATGTGTATAGAAGTTATATATTTTAAATATATACAACCATTGTAAAGTAATTATCTTTATATATAATATATAATAATAGATATATTTATACATAATAAATAAATATTAGATAATAAAATACAAATGTACTGTTAAAATGTTATAATAATGTACTTAAAATGATATTATAAATCAATATTCTATACATTATATTTTTAGAAAATAAAAATATATCAAATAACTATATATGCATTAATATATGCATTATATATATGCATATATTAAGAATTTATG